GCCATCAAATGCTAATCAAGGTGGCCAATTGAAACATTCACACTGAGCCGTTCAGCAGTGGAACTCTCTGCCCCGGAGTGTGGTGGAGGCTCCTTCTTTGGAAGCTTTTAAACAGAGGCTGGATGGCCATCTATCAGGGGTGATTTGAATGCAATATTCCTGCTTCTTGGCAGGGGGTTGGACTGGATGGCCCATGAGGTCTCTTCCAACTCATTCTATGATTCTATGAATACCTGTATTAGCATATATGTACATAATATATCTTGGAGATGAGACCGAAGTGTAAACACAGAATTCATTTATATTTCATATGAATCGCTGGATCGGATTTAGATATGGCTATTTAGTTAATAATGTTGTTTTAAGTGGATTTTAACCTAATGTTTTTACCTATTATGTAATTGTTGTGTTTTACTGTGTTTTGTATGTGTGTGGGCATCAAATTGTTGCCGGCTGTAAGCCACCCTGAGTCTCCCTCAGGGGTTGAGAAGGGCAGGGTCAAATGTTTGAAATAAATAAATATACAGTGTTCCCGAACTTATCGCAGGTGTTACGTTCCAGGACCACCAGCAAAAAGTGAAAATCCGTGAAGTAGGGACCTATATATGTATGAAGTTCAGAGGGTGAGGCTGAAGTGGGGAGAGATTTAAAGGCACCACACATCTTTCTTTTTTTTTTTTGCTAGCAATCTCTGCTTTGCTTTGCAGTCTCTCTTGATTGGCTGCCTCTCTCCCATGGGGGAGGATGAAACTCCCTTCCACACTCCCTCATTGCCACAAGGTGGGATTAGAATGCGGCTCTGGACAACGGCGACCATTCATAAACTGGGAGACAAAACCCCGCAAAACAGCAAATCCGTGAAAAGTGAACCGCGAAGTAGCGAGGGAACACTGTAGGCCTCACACACATAGCCTGAAGATAAGAAATATTTTATATATTTTAAATAATTTTGTGCATGAAACAAAGATTGTGTACCCTGAACCATCAGAAAGCAAAGCTATTTCAATGAATACTTTTGGGCTTTAGAATATTTTGGATACTAGAATTTAGGATGAGGGATGCTCTACCTATATAGTGTTGAGCATCCCTTAGATCAGTGGTTCCCAATCTTTGGTCCTCCAGATGTTTTGGGCTTCAACTCCCAGAAATCCCAGCCAGTTTACTATCTGTTAGGAATTGTGGGAACTGAAGTCCAAAACACCTGGTGGACCAATGATTGGGAACAACTTCTTTAACAGCACATCTATTTGAGATTTAATCTCATAAAATGCTGATGCAGGTTTGCAATCCTTGGTTTCAACCAGAACATCCTTTCAGTCTTTCCCTGAATTGGATCTTATTGTTCAGTTCTGGCAAACTTATATCTGGAGCCCATTTAGTCTACAATGTTATTGTTCTATGGTTTCAGCAAGCGAGAGACCAAAAGTGGCAGGCTCAAACCCAGAACCCCAACCAATGGCTGATACCAAATGAGAGACTCCCCCCTGGGCACACAGAGGACTGGGCGACTTGGAAGGCGCTGAACAGACTGCGCTCTGGCACCGAGATGCAGAGCCAACCTTCAGAAATGGGGCTACAAAGTGGAATCCTCGACATGCGAGTGTGGAGAGGAGCAAACCACATGCCACCTGCTGCAATGCAACCTGAGCCCTGCCACATGCACCATGGAGAACCTTCTTGCAGCAACACCAGAAGCACTCCAAGTGGCCAGATACTGGTCAAAGGACACTTAATCAACTACCAAACTCACAAATTTTGTATTTTGTCTGTTTGTTTGCTTTGTTCTGTTAGAAATGTAATATAATTTGACTGGTTGTCCTGACACGACAAATAAATAAATGGTCCATTCTATAGAATTTCAGGATTTGCAATTTTGTGAGCTGTTGGAACTCTCTAGCTGAGAAATCAAGATGCCCATTTCTTGATTGCAAATTGCAGGATTCCATAGGACAGAACGTGGAGGTCAAAGGGGAATCATAGTGTCATCATTGTGGAGTGTGAACGAACCCCAGGAAATCCTTTTGATTCCATTTCCTACCTGGATTTCTGGCACAATGGAGCCTCTCTCTGAACAGGAGCTGGCAAATGCTGTCATTGGAGAAGGCAAGACCACTGGGTTGGGCCGGGCAAAGTTGCTCAGGTCGCAGCTGGGAATATCGTTCTCTTCGTGCCTCATGACAATGGTCTCCATGACAAAGAAGTGATCCCATGGCAGCCACAAGGTGTGGTCTTGGGTGATGAAGGGCGCCCGCTCAAAATGCAAGATGATGGATATCCCACCATTCGTGACAAGATCAAAACTGTGGAAGGAAACACAAAAGTGGGGAGAACGTCAAAATTACAAGACCTATTAAGAAAAACTGGGGGGAAGCCATGATTCATACAATAGCCCTGTTTAATATATATTTATAGTTGATTACACGTTCCTATGTTTGTTATCACCTTGGCCAGAATAAATAATGGATGCACGGAATCCCTAAACTTTTGGGCAGTTTTTTAAAAATTGCTCCTATTATCTAATGATATTTTAACCTCTTAATTCTGCTACTTTATAACAGCTTGAAGTCACTACTAAAGGGCTTTCCAAAATAGGTGTTGCAACACATTAGAGTGTCAGCTGTAGTGTGTAGGTGCGCCAACACAATGAAAAACATCTGAATCTATGTGAAATCTGGAATACCACTTGCATGGATTTTTTACACAGAAAAACATACCGATTAGTATTAGTAACATTATTAATAGTAGTATTAGTAACATATTGTTAGTCATAAATGACAAAAATCTTGGAAATGTGTATTATCTTACAAATCATATATTTTGAAAAAAATATATAAATGAATTGTTTTAATGACATATCTTGTGTCCCATACATTGCATTATTACAAGATATGTATGTGTCTTTATCTCTTCTAAAGGGTTGGCTTAACCTCTGGTTTGCTAGTAAAATTGAATTACTAGTACAGGTAGTCCCCAAGTTACAAACATCCAACTTACAAACAACTCATAGTTAAGAACAAGGATAAGAAAACAGGAAGTGGGAGATGGGAAATTCAGTCCTGGAAGAGTTATAATCATGGGGGAAAGGGGTCTCCCCAACCCTTGTTTCCACAAGAAGCCACATTTTTCAAAATTCAGTTTCACAGGGACGGAAAGTGAGGTGAAATCTTTGGAACAAGGGAACAGACAGCAATATCTATCTATCTATCTATCTATCTATCTATCTATCTATCTATCACAGGGGTGTTAAGCATTTCGTAAGCCAGGGGTCCTCAAACTCAGGCCCGAGGGCCAGATACGACCCTCCAAGGTAATTTACCCAGCCCTCGCTCGGGAGCAACCTAAGTCTGAAATGTTTTGAAAGCACACAACAACAACAACGATCCTATCTCATCAGCCAAAAGTAGGCCCACACTTCCCATTGAAATAGTAATAAGTTCATATTTGTTAAAGTTGTTCTGCATTTTAATTATTGTATTGTTTTTAAGGGTTATTTGCATACAAATAAGATACGTGCAGTGTGTATAAGAATTCATTCATTTTTTTTTCAAATTATAATCAGACTTTCGAACAATTTGAGGGATGTGACCTGGCCCTCTGTTTAAAAAGTTTGAGGACCCCTGCCCTAAGCCATCCAAAGCTTATACATGTATGTATGTATGTTTGTTTGTATCTACCTGTTCCAACTTGCATAGAAATTCAACTTAAGAATAAACCTACAGAACCTATCTTCTTCAGAACTTTGGGACGGCCTGTATTGTGTCTCGAAATGATGCATGTCTTAAAAAGTGTGTCACCAAAATGATATGTTTGGAAATGTGCTGTCACACGCTGGGCCTGTGCATAAGACTGTAGACAGGACAAATTCTGTGTGCCCAACGGGACACCGGGGCTGCCTCAGATTAAAGGCCCATGGATTCCCCCAAACAGAGTCTTTAGATTGCTTAAAGGTTCAAACAAAGTTCTTTATTGATGAAAATAAAGAACTTTAAGGCTTTCTTAACAGTCTATTGGCTCTCTCTCAATCTTGTCCACAGGGAACAGGCACTATCTTCATAACTGTACATTAACTAATGGGGAAATCCTTAACTTCTAATCTGGGCAGTCTGTCTTTGCCTCTGTTGGCGTGGAGCCCCTACACCCGGTACCAACTGCTTCTGGCTTCCGCGAGTGACCCTTACCAAGCAGAGCTTTGTAGACCTCCAGGGAAAAGGAGTTCAGGTTTCAGTGATGGCTGACTGAAGTCCCTCCGCAAAGGAGCTGTAAGGCTGTATGATCCTTGGCCAAGCTGTGGGCTGTATTACCCCGGACAAGCTGTAGAAGACGAAGCTTTCTACAGGAGCTCTTGGTATTATGTCCTGCATTAAAAGCTTCTCTGTGTGGACTGAACCCAAACTGGCTCCTATTTCCTCCAAAACCCAAAAAGAGGGCGGGACCAGGGAACCTAACTATAATTGACAGATGACTTGCCCTATGATTGCAGCCAAAAGAAGCCACCTATCTGCAGACTTCCTGAAACTTCCGGAGGACTACAACAAACATTCAATGCAAAGCAAACAAAAATGGAGCTCCTGGTACAGTTGTACCTGCACAGGAAAGCTCAGCACTACTGATGCTTTTATCCAAATGAACAACGTACTTTGCCAATTAAGAGCTAAAAACTGATTTCTACCCTTCACCTCCTTGGGGAGCTCTCAGTAGAATGTTTCTTATTTGGGACCTTTCTGGAGAAAATGTTTGAGCAGCATACTAACACCTTGCATATATAATTTATGAAAAATAGAGAATGCAGGATCTTTCTCTTCCAATGCACAACAGGATCTCCTGTTGTGTAATTGGAACTGCCACTACACAACAGAACTTCCACTGTGAAGTAGGAATTCCTACTGCAAATGGGAATGCAGAACCTCCCAGTACGCATCAGAAATTCCCACTGGGTAATAGAAATTTCCAGCGAGCAATTGGCGCTCCCTCTGTAAAACGGAAATTCCGACTGTGCAATAGAAGCTCCCACTGTGCAGCATTCCCCCAAGTGTATCATCAGAGATCATCAATAGGGTTGGGTGTCCAATCAGGGATGTAGCAATGACCATGTAAAATTATAAACTGATGCAAAATCGGAGACAATACCAAGAGATTTCAGTCCATGAAGCAGAAACAAAACCCCTCCGCTCTAAAGCCAGAACTGCAAAACAACAAGGTGTTTATTCCACAGCTCAAGTAGAGACATCAAATTCCCAGAGCCAAGCTGCTTGCCGTCTTTTAAAAGCCTTGTTTCTCACTTGCCAGCAACCTGAACAGCATTTAAGGCTTGATGAGGGCATTTTTAACAGTTAGTGCTTGGCAAAGCCCTGAAAGCTGCCTCAGGCCACGGCTGAGTGCTAAACAAGGAGTGCTTGGGAGAGGGAAGCGACTGAAAAAGTTGTGCTGTTTTCCTTTTACGTGACTTTGAAAAAAAATGACACCCAGCAAACTACTGGAACAACCGAGAAGTCCTTTATATATAGAAGTGCCTCCTCTTGACATTTGTGAGTGGAGATGCCCGGAGGAGTGAGCTCTAATGAGCGATGGTGAGGCGTGTGAACCTGGAGGCGGGAGGATTGGGAAGGGAATAAGTTGGACCAACCGTGAAGCCTGACAGTAAGGGGGAAGCATCGATCTCATGTCAAGGGAGTCTCAACAGCTGCAAAAACACAGAGGCCCCATTGTATGGAGGGCAATCTAGCAACTCATCGGCTCCTCCACTTGCCTTGAAGTTACCTTGATAGGGATGAGCAGTAATGACGGGGAAACTAAAGAACACAGAAGAGAGAGAAAGAGACCCTCAAAATGAAAACTGGCAAAATCTTCCCTCTGTTGAAAAATGCCAAAGTACTTCCTTTGATGAGGGATGCTGATGAGTTGCTAGATTGCCCTCTATACAATGGTTTTCCCCCATACTGCTTCAGTCTATACTTCAAAGCATGAATGCACTGCTAAAATGGAATTGTCCTAACTTCTGAGTGTGTTTGGGAAAGCAATCAACGAATCAGCAATCAACTCGATGTCCGGGCCAAACCTTTGCACTAGATGGTGGTCCCAAAAGCCCAAAGTGCTTACGTACCTGCCATCTTGTCTGCTGATGGTGTAGCCATAGAGGGGGTTGTTGACAAAGCTGATGTTTACGCCAACAAGTGGAGTCCCGTCTGATGTCATCACCTGCCCACGGATCACGCAAGGGTGGCTGGAGGGAGGGAAAGAAACCAAAGATGTTGCAGAAAGGGGTGGCTCTGGTCAGAGGGGTTGCCTTCAGATTTTGCATTAAGCTAAGTCAGGGGAGATTGTGGTGAGTGTGGACAACATGAATGGCTTCAGTCTAGATTGGTCCACTGTCCATGTGTGCCAGGGCCATCACTCCCTTTTCCTGACTTTGGATCAGTAATAATAACAATAACAATAACAACAACAATAATAATAACTTCATTTTATACTCTGCCAACCATCTCCCCTAGGGAACTTGGGGCAGCTTACAAGGGACAAGCCCAAAACTTAGAATTAAAACACAGCAATCAAACATTACAATTAAAACATCAGATAAAAACTATACGTCACAATTAAAAACCACATAAGAGCAATATGGCTGAGAAAAGAACATAGCGGAGGTACAATTCAATGAGTGCAATACTAGGGCTGGGCGGTTTCGTTCGTTAATTTCGTAATTTCGTTATTTTTTTTATAACGAAGCGATATTGAACCATTCAGGAGCAACTAAAAATCGAAACGAATTTTTCAATTCGTTTTGTAATTGTTTCGTAATTGTTTCGTAATTGTTTCGAAATCGTTTCGTTATTATTTCCCCATGTCTGGTGCAAGTTTTATAATTGTTTGTTTTATCAGTGAAAAAAATATATAATTATCACACCAACAGTCAACAACAGAGGGAGAGGGAAGCTTCAGAAGTTCCCCCTGTCCCATTTGGAGGTTTTTTTAGCGTATTGCGCGGTCGCGTCCGCCATTAACGAATCGATTCGTAATTGTTTCGTAATTGTTTCGTAATTTCCGAAATTTCGTAAATTTCAAACTTTTTTAAAGAAAAATTTCGGAATTCTTTTAAAAATCGAAACACAAAAACCCCCTAAAAACGAATCGAGTTTAGAAACAAATTTTTCCGTGGTTACCCAGCCCTATGCAATACATTTTAGAGGAGCGCAAGAGAAGTGCAGCAAACTAATAGATTGGGTGGGAAGTGCTGTCATAAAACATGTTGAGGTAGGCCGTTTGAGGGTCGAAACAAAGTGCAGAAACTCAATGGGAACAGGAAAATTACTGGTGAGCTGCTTTATCAAACACACATTAGTTGACTCCGAAAGGATGTCAAGGTTGGAGCCTGTCTGATCTCCCTAGGGAGGGAGTTCCAGAGCCGAGGGGCCATCATCAAGTAAGCTCTCTCCTTCGTCCCCACCAACCGTGCTTGAGATGGCAGGGGGAGAGAGAGCAGTGCCTCCCCAGATTAGGTACGCACTGGTTCGTTGGGAAAGAGGCAGTCATGGAGATAAGCAGGTCCCAAACTGTTTAGGGCTTTATAGGTGATGACCTGCACCTTGAATTGGGACCGGAAACGTATTGGAAGCCAGTGGAGCTGTTTGAACAGGAGGGTTGACCGCTCTCTGTAACCAGCTGGTTGCCTGGTTGCAGATCTTTGAACCAACTGTAGTTTCCAGGCCGTCTTCAAGGGCAACCCCACATAGAGCGCATTGCAGTAATCCAACCTGGTGGTGACTAGGGCATGGACCACAATGGCCAGATCAGATTTCACGAGGTACAGGCGCAGCTAGTGCACAAGTTTTAACTGTGCCAAGGCCCTCCCAGCCACCGCTGACACCTGAGCATCGTGTCAAAGCGGAGTCCAGAAGGACCCCCAAGCTGCGGACTCATGTCCTCAGAGGGAGTGCGACTCCATCTAGACTCTGTCCTGCTTGTGCTGCAGGATGGACATGGAGAGTGTAGTCACCTCTGGGGCTAGTCTGGAGTATTGTTCCTGGATTATGTGCTACTGGTAGAGCAGCCCTCAGTGCCTGGATATCCCTAATACAATCCCTTGAATTTGGCAGCATTAGAGATCTCTAATCCCTTATCAGGTACAAATTCTAAGATTCCACAGGATTCCCCAGCACTAAAACTGCATCAGGTTGATAATCCCTTATCCAGTATGCCTGGGACTAGAAGTGTTTTGGATTTGGGATGTTTTGAATTTCAGAATACTTCCATCCACAATGAGCTATCTTGGAGATGAGACATAATTAACTGAAGGTTAGATGTTGCCAATGGTGCTATGTATTTTGAAGAGGCACAAATACAGGACAAAAGGAAGAAATGTGACAAAAGGAAGGAACATCAAGAAAATCCTTGTTGTGATCACCTTCCATCTGGAAATCTGTGTAGGTAAAGGTTTTCCCCTGACATTAAGTCTATTTGTGTCCGACTCTGGGGGTTGGTGCTCATCTCCGTTTCTAAGCCGAAGAGCCAGCATTGTCCGTAAACACCTCCAAGGCCATGTGGCCAGCATGACTGCCTGCAATGCCGTTACCTTCCCATTGAAGTGGTACCTATCGATCTACTCACATTTCCATGCTTTCGAACTGCTAGGTTGGCAGAAGCTGGGGCTGGCAGCAGGAGCTCACCCTGCTCCCCAGATTTGTACCTGTGATCTTTCAGTCAACAAGTTCAGCAGCTCAGAGCTTTAACCCACTGCATCACCGGGAGCTCCTGGAAATCTGTGTACACAATGTGAACGACCTTGAGGAGCCAGAGTATGTCATCACCACCATCATAGGCAGGTCTGTAGCAAGGGGGTGGTTTTAGAGGTTCAAACCCCCCCCGAAATGTTTCAGATTTTTTTTAAAACCTGGTTTACTCATGAATTTTAACTGGTTAACCAAATCCCCATGCTAAGTCTATGAGATGCAAAAAATTAAGAGTCCCTCCAGAACTGTAAGCACTATCTCAAGCAAATATTGACAATTTATTCACACTGTCATTACTTGCAGCAATAGCCGATGTAGTGAAGCAACCAAGTTGTGTGTGTGTGTTGAATGCTCTCATTAAGGAGGCCAGACTTGGTGGAGGTGGTTGACAGGGGAGGGGAGCTGCAGGCTATTGAAGGCTGCTCTGCCCCCTGCTGTGCTCTTTGCTTCAGCGTGAGCTAGGAGGCCGGTTTCAACCCCCCCCCCCCGAAATTTTCAACCCTCCCCGAAATTTTCAACCCCCCCCCCCGAAATTTTCAACCTCCCCCCCCCGAAATTGTCAACCCTCCCCGAAATTTTTTTCTGGCTACGGCGCTGATCATAGGTGGTCACTCATGGTCAATTATGATTGTCTTCCAAAGGTAGAGTCTTGGTGGTAAGTCCGTAGGTGACTATGAGTGATGGCCGATGATGATGATGGTGATGATTTGTTTATATATATCCACAACGAGCTATCTTAGAGATGAGACCCAAGTATAGTCACAAAATTCACTTCTGTTTCATATACACCTTAAACACATAGCCCAAAGGTCATTTTATCATTTTATATACCATATTTTTTAGTAATTTTGGGTATGAGATAAAGATTGTGTGTATTGAGTCACCAGAAAGCAAGTGTGTCATTATTTCAGCCACCCATTTGGACAATTTGGGTTTTTAGATTTTCAGATTTTGAAATTCTGGATGTTCAACCTATATCAAACTTTTAAAACTCAGTGCAGGTGAAAAAGTGAGCAAAGGAGAAAGAAAACCAGTCTTTTGTGGGTATGTGCTAGGTATGTGTCTTTGGAGTTGTTTGTCTGGACAGGCTTCCATGGTGGAATCATCTACTTTGAGTAATCTGCCATGGTTCTGTGTTTGTTGTATGACTTTATTCTCCTGCATGTAGACAAGCCTGTTTCCAGTCAGGACTTAAAATGGAGCTGAAGCTGCTTTGATAAATTTGCAGCTAGCTTGAGGGAGCCAAGAAGGACCGGAAGAAGAAAAATGATGACGAGATTAAACCCTACTTGTCAGTTGCTGAAATTTTTTTAATTTATTTTCAAAAATCATTTCCCCAAGTGGTACAATTTGCTCCATTTGGGAAAATCAATTAACACCATACCTTGTAAGCATCTGGCCTCTCTGGGGTCAACTTGTCCTTTCTGGAGGCAAAGCTGAGTATCTACCACAATGCTCAGAGCCCCACTGGAACCTGGTTAATGCTAATTGAGTCAGCGCTTTCCTTCAAAAGACCTTGGTAGAAAGGCAATTACATTCCAAACAAGCTCAGTAGGACTGCAAAGACTCTCCCAGCTCTTCCCTGGAAATTCTCCCGGTATATGTACATAAAATTATCTCTTCTGTTAATAGGTGGAGCTTCCTTTTAATCATGCCAGTCTTTCCAATATGAAACTTATATTGAATGATTTAAGTAAACTGATTTTATTTCTTGCAGACGAAGACTGAATTAACATATTGCCTCTTATGAATTTGCCTGCATTTTAAAGCAATTCTGGAAACTGTTTTGATGAAAATAACTATTTAATCTCTAGTTAGAATGAATCTTTCCCAGGGGCCTCCTAGCAATTAAAAAGACCTTTTGGAGTTTCTTAATATTTGGTAATGGAGTTCAGTGCTGACTTTCAAGAAAATGGATGGCAATTTAGGCATGCTGTAAATTTTGTCCATTGTATTACCAAGGAATGCATATTTCACCAAGAGATTAAACTGAACGTTTCTGGGTTTCCTGAGTCACGGGGTAACCAGAGTGAAAGCTGAAGACATCTCTTGTCCCATTAATGGTTGTCTAGAAGAAGGGATTTTAGCAGGTGTCCCTTGTTCCTTAGTTGCCTGAAAAACAACACCTCATGAAATCATCTCATCCACACAACCACAAAATGGAACAGAGATGTCTCCAGTTTTCAATTTGGCCACCCTATTAAGTGAAATTAAGTGATGCTAAGGAGGTTGTCCAAGTCCTGAACTGGTGCCTGGCTGCTGTGACGGTCTGGATGAGGGCGAGCAAATTGAAGTTGAATCCAGACAAGACAGAGGTCCTCCTGGTCAGTCGCAAGGCCAAACTGGGTATAGGGTCGCAAACTGTGCTGGACGAGGTCACACTCCCCTTGAAGGCACAGGTTCTCAACTTGGGATTTTTCCTGGATTCATCACTGAGCCTGGAATCCCAGGTTGCAGCGTTGGCCAGGGGAACATTCGCACAATTAAAACTTTTACGCCA